AAAGACTGATATAAATGACTATTTTGCCATCCTTTCAGATTTCAAGATTTTCTAAGATTATAATATAACATATAACAAACAACAGTGTAGTATACGCAAGATGAAACATTTGAAGATATCTCACAGCAAATGTTAACAACTAATATTGAAACACTTAATTTTAACTGATATTATAATCATGTAATGCAATACTCTTATAATAAGAATGTGATGATAAAAGATAGTTATACAAGACATGTAGACAGATAATGACAGTGATATATGGATGGGAGTATACACATACATTGATAGATGTCTAAGATGCCACTGTTGAGGAACCTGCAAGGCCCGAGAATTTCAGATCAAAAGTTCATCTCCTGGCCTTATGTAGATGTACCGTATAATGGCTACCTGTAATTGATTCAAGTAAAATCCTAAAATGTCGCTGAATTATTAACAGCAGATGAAAGCAGAGAATATGTGTCAGTATACAAGATGAATATACAAATAAACACACTGCAATACTTTACCACTGTTGATGATTGACATGTGAAGGTGCCTCTTCAGATGCAGTAAAGTAGATGGTTATCTCCAGTTAAGATGAACCTGTGCCTATATGCCATGAACTGTGCTCATTTGAAGAGTGTGCCCCTCTGAACTTATGGGATGCAAGGCATAGTTCTTCTCAGGCCTGCCTATCTGGTTGAACAAGCTCAGGTGCTGTCTCACAGACCAACCATTCACAAAACTGAACAGCCCAGTTAAATGGAGAAGACTCATGTTTGGCATCTTAATGAGCATGTAGGGTACATTATTCATGTTGCCTATTGTGAGGGTCACAAGCATTATCACCTATTTTAGGGTTTAACTCAGCCAATGTACACATAAAAAAGTTGAGTGCTTTCTAATACTGTACACTTTGTGCCAAGGTATGGTCTCACAAAGCGTTTAATACTCGTTGGTCCCAACTTGACGTAGTATTTCTACGAAAAACTCTGAAATTGTATGACCCTACGTCTTTTAACTACATCATTCCATGCTGGCGTCTATGTCAGTAATCTACAAATTGCTCCCTGCAGAAAACACAACATGCCGAGCTTCGTTTTATGTTCGGTGGAAATTCAGATTTATGTGTGCAGTGGATCGTTCATGATCATTTTGGCAGTCTTGCTAGTTATTCCTTCATGGAAATTGTGTCATAAAGTTTTCATTGTTACCAGGTGGTTGCGTAGGACGCTGCTATCGATATAATTTCTGATCTATGTGTGTGAAATGGTGTTATCTTTATGCTACCCCTTCCTGGTCAATGTATAGTGTTGGTCCACAGCGCAAACGTATTAGTTTAACAAACATCCGGATCTAAAATTGTGTAAAGCGTGTGGTGCCGAGAGATGGGAGTCGGAGGCGGGTAAGGTACAAGCTAGACTTTTATTAAGCATCTCAAAACACATGTAAACAAGCTTCATGCTGGTAAGTTCAAGACGTTGGAGACAGGAAATCCGGCGTCACAAAATTGTCCGTGCAGAACCAATACCCTAACCATAGATCTGTGGGTGAATAAATGTCAATCACCACAATAATACGTTATTCTTCCCCTGTGCAAATTCTCCATTTACTCAACAATAACACATAATTATCCCTTGTGTTTATTTATTTGTTTGATTAATAAACACAAGTTTGGAGTCCGTCAGGACCGAGGGTCGGAGGCAGCTCTTTGTTTTAGAGAATATTACACCTGGAAGTAAGTATTCTCTCCGCTTCGCTGGACAACCCCGTGATAGTCGCAAGCTCTGTGATTGGAGAGTGTGCTCCGAGGGTTACCGCGAGACGTCGAAAAGCAATTGAAATGGGATGGAACCACGGCAGACTGGTCCAAAACTGGATTTGAACGGGGTCCACCCCCGTCCCCCCACTCCACTCCGTCCCAGAACTACACATGCTGGCTATTGTGTTTCGCAACATGTTCTCTATCTATGGCACGTCTCTACGGGGAGTTTGTAGTTTTAAAAGACGTTTTCATATTTCCCATAATAAGAAGTTGCCAGTATACTGTGTACATCCCTGGAGGTTTAGGGGATAGGAAACACTCAAATGTAAAACATATAATTAATAAATGGGTGAAAATTGCTTAATATATATACCCACATGCCAGCTAAGGTCAGAAGAGCTTTATTTAACACCTGGTCTTATGTTTGTGACCCCTCCTGTTGTTAATTGATAACATTACATTACATTACATTACATTAATTGATAAGCCTAAAACATGCACTTGTCAAGGTTCAGAGGCAAATTTTGCAAATACTGTATGGCAGCAGCCATCGATCATCTTAAGATAAGATATGCTTTATTGATCCCAAGTTGGAAACATTTGCGTTACATCAGCATGTGTAACAGTTGTAAATATGCAGTGGTGTTTATTTGTAAATCATTTAGTATAATCACACAAATTCTGTGTTTTATATTTAATAATTCTGTGTTCTTTATTTATTGATTGTTCAATACCTGACATGGCCGGAGATGAAAAACTTGGGTCGCAGGTTCCTTAACAGTGCATCACAAGACATCTATCAATATTTGTGTATACCTCCACCATTAAACTGTCATATTCTGCACATTTCTTATACTATCTACATACATCTTATAT